AAAAACAGAAATTTAAAATTATAAAAAAAGTAAAACAAAAACTTTTACGGGGTGAGGGTGGGTGATGCAGAAAAACGAAAAAACAGAAATTTGAAATTGAAAAAAAAAAGGTAAAAAATAATTTTTTTTTGGGGGTGGTGTGGTGTGGAGATAGATGCAACAAAGATTTTACAAAGGGAGAGGAATACTAGAGTCTAGTGGTGTGGTATCTTTTAGGAGGTACTTTTTACAAATATCAATAAACCAAAAGTCAAAAAGACCAACCACACACAAATCTACAAAAGATACAAACAAACAGCCAAACAGGTCAGCTCTGTGGTCCTACTCCACTCTCAGCAATCACCTTATTAATCTCCATATTACTCCTCCTCCTTCCTTTACTCTTTCATTTCCCAATTTCACATATGGCCACCTAAAGAACACAATACAAACAAAACAAACACTTATTTTTTTTTCAAGAATGGTAAGCAAATGGTAAAGGGGCCTTTTTTGTTTTAGCAGTGAAAAAGGAGACCTTTTTTGTTTCTTTTGGTGAAACCCCATATTAAAAAGAGCTGATTCTTGAATTTCTGATAAGGGGTTTTAGTAGTTTCGTTTCAAAATGGTAAGTAAATGGGGGAAAGTGAAATTGGCTTTTGGTTTGAATCTTTGTGCTTATATTCCCAAAGGAACAGTGGATGATAATGATGACAGTGGCAGTTCAACAGTTTCTGAGTCAGAAAGAAATTCCGGCGCCGCCCTTTTGTCGCCGGCGATGGCTGATTGGGACATTGCTCCGGCGACTCCAAGGTCACATGGGTTAAAGCTGTCGAAGAGCTTAAGTAGATCTTCTAAGGTTTGTTTTCCTTTTTTTTTTTTTCCTTTATCTTTTGTATGGCTATACTAGTGATTGTAGCTGAGGAAAGCTGTGAGCTTGGAAAAAGAGGTTTTAATGAAGAAAATTTCTAATACTAGTGTTTGTTTGGTGAGGAAAACACGAATTAGCAAGTTAGCATTAGGATTCACGGTTGTGGCCTAGTGGTCAATGAAGTCGGAAGAGAACGTTAGTTCTGGATTGAAATTCCTCTAGAGGCAAAGAGAAAACATTAGGTGATTTCTTTCTGGGTGGGCAGATTTACTCGGTACATGTGCTAGCAGAGGTAGCAGGTACTCTGAGGAAGAATTGGGATGGACTGGACACCACCGTCATCAGAAAAAGAAAAAGAAAATTTGGGTCTTTCATCAATATATGAAGTGTTTGGTGGGAAAGGAACTACTAAAGGGGAATGAAATGGGTGGAAAACTCCGAAACTTTTACACCTCTAGTTATTTGGTGATAATTTTGTTATTATTCCATTGAAGTTTGAATTTGCAATGGTTTAGTCTATTGTTTAATTTCTGCTTCTGCTGTTGCTATATGTTTATGCAAATTGTTTGAAATTACTGACTCGAGAATCAGTTCTCATTTTTGTTTTTAAACTCTTCTTGCTTTTGAAGTAGAGAGCAAAGTAGATCACATCCAAACGTTTGTTCTGTTATTAGCCACAATAGTTCTTTTCAGGACCATTGTCATCTTTACTCGTTCAGGCGATTTAAGCTTTGTTCTTTTCATCACTTTAGAGAGGAAACAACTTTTTCAGCAGCGTTTGTTGAAAATTCTTTATTTTGTAAACATGTATTCGTATTTGTGTGTTTGTCACCAACATGACCTCTTGTTCTTAACTTCTTTGAGTTTCGATGTTTGTTTTATTTACTTACTCTTCCATCATTATCTTGATCACAAATTATGCCTGGTACATATTTATTTGTTATTGCACAATTTGATCTTTCCAATTGAAAGCCGTTTGATTTATCTTTTTCTGCTAAATCTTCTGTTTCTTCCTCTATGTTCTATCTTGGATCATTGACTTAGCCGTGAGATTTCCTATTTTTGGTCAGTTGATTGACTGCAGAAGAAAACGAAAGTTCCCTTTCTTCAACTGTCAGTCTTCAGTATTGGTATTTGACTGATATGGTCCATCTGCTGGCTTAAATTCATTTGTTTAGATGGAACCTTTTCTTAGATGCATCATATTTCAATCAAATTGGTTTGTTATTCCTTTAGTCACCTGACCAGTTCGTTTTGTACTTTCAGAAAACATGCTCGATATGTTTGGCTTCAATGAAGAGAGGGGACGGTCATGCGATATTCACTGCTGAATGTTCACATTCATTTCACTTCCAGTGTATTGCTTCAAATGTAAAACATGGAAATCAAGTTTGCCCAGTTTGTAGGGCCAAATGGAAAGAAATTCCTCTGCAGTGTCCCAGCCTGGATCCTCCCATTGGGAGGGCTAGAGTCAATCCTGTCGAATGGCCCCAAAATAATGCACTAATGACTGTAATACGTCGTTTACCGACAACCCGCCCAACTGCCAATCGGCATATTTCCCCATTATTTCAGGCTCCTGAGCCAGCCGTCTTTGATGATGATGAATCTTTGGGTAATCAACTCAACTCTACTGAGGAAAGTGCTTCAGATAACAGTTCGATAAATGGTTGTGGCAACAGGAAAGTGAAGATTGAAAATTACCCAGAGGTTCTGGCAATCTCAGGGTCTAGTGCTTCAGATAACTTCACTGTGTTAGTCCAGCTGAAGGCTCCTGGTTCAGTTTCAGCACAAGATCCAAGTGGAAACCAGGTAAATTTGTCCCAGGTTTCCCAAACGCCTCGTGCCTCTGTTGACCTTGTCACCGTTCTTGACATCAGTGGAAGTATGGCTGGCACTAAACTTGCACTACTAAAACGGGCTATGGGTTTTGTGATACAGAATCTTGGTCCCAATGATAGGCTGGCAGTAATTGCCTTCTCTTCGACGGCTCGCCGCCTCTTCCCTCTTCGTAGGATGTCCGAAACAGGACGGCAGCAAGCACTGCAAGCCGTAAACTCCCTAGTTGCAAATGGAGGGACAAATATTGCTGAAGGCCTGAGAAAGGGTGCCAAGATAATGGAAGATCGTAGGGGAAAGAATGCAGTTGCTAGTATAATACTGTTGTCTGATGGTCAAGATACATATACAGTCAGTAGTAATTCTGGTAGTAGTCGGCAGCAACCTAACTACAAGTTGCTTCTGCCTTTGTCCATTCATGGTGGAAATAGTTCAGGGATTAAAATACCGGTACATGCTTTTGGGTTTGGTGCCGATCATGATGCTTCATCAATGCATTCGATATCAGAGATTTCAGGAGGAACATTTTCTTTTATTGAGACAGAAGGCGTCATACAAGACGCTTTTGCTCAATGCATTGGAGGCCTTCTCAGTGTTGTAGTGAAGGAGCTTCAGGTAAGCATTGAGTGTCTTCACCCGGATGTCTACCTTAGCTCTTTAAAGGCAGGAAGCTATCCAAACCGCTTAATGTCTGGCGGACGCATGGGAACAATTGATGTTGGGGATTTATATGCTGATGAAGAACGAGATTTCCTGGTTTCGATCAATATCCCCACTGAATCTTCTTGTGCAGAAACATCATTGTTAAAGGTTAAGTGTGTATATGTGGATCCTTTCACAAAAGAAAAGGTTTCCGTCAGAAGTGAAGATCTTACGATCAAGAGACCTGAAAAGGCTGGACAAGAGAGTGTTTTGATTGAAGTGGACAGGCAGCAGAACAGGCTCCAAGCAGCTGAGGCAATGGCACAAGCACGAGCAGCTGCTGAGAAAGGAGACCTGGTTGGCGCGACTTCCATCCTCGAGAACTGCAGAAGGTTGTTGTCAGAGTCAGAGTCTGCTAAATCTCATGATCGGCTTTGTGTCGCGCTTGATGCTGAGCTCAAGGAGATGCAGGAGAGGATGGCAAGCAGACATGTATACGAAGCATCAGGAAGGGCATATATCTTATCAGGGCTGAGCTCACACTCGTGGCAGAGAGCAACAACACGAGGTGACTCTACAGACGGTTCAAGTCTTGTCCAAGCGTACCAAACCCCTTCCATGGTCGATATGGTAACTCGCTCTCAGGCTACATTACTCGGAAGCCCTTCAGCTCAAAGACATGTTCGGCCAGGGTGGTCATTTGCATCACAACCAAAGCCTAGGTAACAGTTACATAACCAAAACCGAAGATGTCACTTCTGCTGCTCTTTAAGTCCTTCCTCTTTCTATTACTAATAGCCTTCGGTGTGGAGTGGAGTAAAAGGAAGGATGAGAAGTTTTTGAATATCCGTATATTGATGTCTATGCTTGTAAAGGAATAAACTTCGGCCAAAGGGAATCGGTGAAACGTGCAATATAGTTTTGGGAAATGGTATGTAAGGGCAGACTAGTTAGATTCTTGTGACTTCATTTTTGTCCTTTTTTTTGGGTGTTTTTTGACTTCATGTTGTTGGGGGTGATGTATATAATGTGAGATGTCATATATCTCTGGATTAAAGGTTATAAGTTTGTAACTGTGGGATTTACTCAGAGAACTGTCATTTATGTATAAAATCCTGCAAAGTGATTCTTTCCCTTGACTTTCTTGATTATTCCCTCTGCTTGCCTTTTCTTTTAAATTTCATTCAAGAAGCTTTTGCAGTTTTGCAAAAGGCAGTTGAAAAATGAAAATAGAATCAGCAGTGATTGACTTCATGAATTAAATTGTTCATCTAGTTTAGGGTCAAAGACGACAACAACAACAACAATCCAATATAATCCCACCAGTGGAGATTGGGGTGGATAGTGTATACGCAGACCTTATCTTTGTTCTGTGGTAGAGAGGTTGTTTCCAATAGAATCTTGGCATCTCTCTCTTCAAAAACTCCCCACCTTGCTCTTGGGGTGACTCGAACTCACAACGTCTTGGTTGGAATCACTAGAGCAATCCCATCTTGTCTATTTAGGGTCAAAGAATAAACATGAAAAGGTCTTTTCATGCTTTTATGTCTTATTTTAATTCCTTTTCACATTGCTGTGGGGTGGGGAAAAAGGGGTAACTTTTATTTTGAACTTGATTCTCCCTTGTAGAAGATAAGTTACATCTGTGAGACTGCTGACTGCATGGTCTATAAGGAAGGGGAAAAAAAGAAGGTGAAAAGCTACTGGACAAAGTAGGAAAATTTTGTTGGCCGAGTCCCATAAGACTTTATTTCAGATTTTGAACCCCCTATTTAATTTTTATTTACTTTTTTTGCTCAAGAAAATGCTAACTGGC